GTCTGAGATCTGTAACTGTAATCCATGTTACCTACAAAGAGATGAAGTTTTATGGTGGGCCAGAAACTGGAGGGGGCTGGGTATCATGGGGGTAAGAAATTGTAGGGGGGGAGCAGTGGTATTAATGCTGGACCTTGAGGGTCATAAATTACATAACATACCACCCCAGATTGGCTGAGACCTAAGAACACTTATTCCTGTTACCTACAAAGAGATTAGAAGTTTTATGGTTGGTTAGAAATAGGTGGGGGCTGAGTCGGCTGTATTGCCCCTTAGGGGTAATAAGTATGTGTACCATTTTAAAAATTACCTGGCTAACATCAGATGGCTGAATTTTTACTTTTTAGATGGTTAGAATTGTATTATTATCATTTAGACACAAGTCTGTTTAACAATTAATACATTTTGTGTTAACTATTTCTAAACCAGTGTCATATTCAGTGGTCTAATCAATGAGAAACTTGCACATAGGGTATCAAGAGCCACATAACAGTATCTGTTATAACTTTTCTGAACAGGCAAGCTAGTGGACAAAATTAATGTATTCATGTAGATTTAGTTGTTATCTAACAAATAAAACCATTATGGTAATGATCAGTCAAGTTTTACTCTGATAATGATAAAAACTTTATAGCATGGTAAAATGGGACAAATATCTGCCATTTTGTTTTGGCACCAATAATCACTGTGCAAAAAAATTCACCAAAATAAAACTATTCTAGCCATAGCTATAAAAATAGTGTTAAAATGTACAACAACCAATGCTCTAATACAGGAACAAAGAATGGGCTTGAAAAACTCATTTGGTTTATTACAAAGTGAAGTTTCCCAAGTTATGTCTATTTGGAAAAAAAGTTCACAAAATGGTTTTATGGAGATGAGAAACTTTAGGGAAAGAGCAGTGGGATTAAATCCTGTCTCATCCTCTCCCTATTGAACCAAGTGGGTCATAAATTACATAAAATGAATCCTCTGCTTCTCTGTTATCAAAGAACAGCAGTGGTTGTTACCTCAGAAGTAGATTAGCAGTGTTATTGGGGGTTTTGTGGGGGTGGAGAGTTGTTTGGGGCTTAATACCACACGGCTCTTAACGCCTTCTTTACCCTATCTCTAACTACTAACAACATTTGATGGTTTTAGCTAATTTGTAAATTTGGGGCTTCTTCTTCTTCGTTCTTAATTATTAGTGTTGAATGTGATCGAGAATTATCTGCCAGTGCGTTTGAAGTCGAGACTTTGTTCAAATGTATCAACCATGAGCTTTTTGCCGACTCGACCACACCTCTAACACGATTAAGCGTTACGTGTCAACTGGTTATGCGCCATTGAGGCCATTGACTCTGATTTCAGCCTGCTTTTCTTTTTGGATTTGCTTCCATAGCCTTTGTCCAACCAAGAACAAACTACAAGGCAGCAGTTGTTTAATTTTGAAGTTGTCTCTCCTAGAAGAGTGGCTGTCCCCAGCTAACGAGTCTCATCTGCCTGGGGGTTCGAACTCGAGACTTTTCGGTTTAGCAACCATGTGCTTTACCAACTCGACAACGCCGACCCCGTGGGGCTAAAATACAGGGTTTTAATTATTGGTGCTTTTTAGCTTAGCTGGGACAGCTTTTTCAGTGACAATCATTCTTAGCTCTGGTCCACAAAATTGACAGGAAAGGGACCTTGGATGTTAGTAAGGATCAAGTGAGGGTGGAGTGTCGGTATGTGTCAATAAAACATAATTGAAAGGATGCTCGTAACTTGGTTATGTCATGTAAATATTTACTATTTTTTTTAATATAGGCTAATGAATGATCCAAAAATAATCACGATTTAAATGTTTGAGAATATATAATATAGATCTAGATCTAAACTTTCAAAAGATATTCATATGCATGTTTATTTCAGTTTTGATTAGGCTTAATTAGTGTGTTTTAGTAATGTTTAATCAGGGCAATTTATAAATGATAGCTATGTCATTGTAAAATGAATCTAACCCTCCTCCCTTACTGGACTTGAAACCTGTGTGTTATTCACAAAGCTTTATCCATGCTGAGTTTAAATTATTGTTAAGATTTGTTTCTATTTTTTTAAACTGTAATCTCATTAAAATTGATCAAGTTAACGAGGAACGCATTCTAAACAATATCACTGGCAGTGCGCATGACAGGCATCTCGCTTGTGTAGTGACAGACAGATGCTCACTCAAGTAGTTTTGTCAACCAGAAAAGTTAACCTATCAAATACAATTCATCAGGCCTATAAAATTAAGAGGCCTATCACATTAAAATGATCGCCTGTGACCGAAAGATATAGGCAAATTACAAACATTGCAGCCCACCTGTGTTCTTTTGTAAACCGGTGAGAGAAAACTCAAAGCACAGTATGAGCATGTTCTAAATCTATTCCAAGTACTTTGTTAGCCCAAGTTCTAATTAGTAATTCTAATTACTAAGTACTAATTAGTAATGTAAGCCTAGATCCAACACTAAAATCATTTAATTTTTCAGACCTCTTAAATCTTAATAATATGAACATTATTTAGCCTAATAAAAGTATATCAACACAGAACAGTGAGAATAATATTATATTAGATTAATTAAAATCTATGAAATCAATAAGAATTAACAAAAATTAATTAAGCTATAACACATTTGAAAACAACAAATAATTAGGCATAAATAAGCACACAAAGGCCAACTCGCAATAATTTCAGGGATTAACACAAATTAAAAAACAAAATAATAGATTGTTGTGGTTTAGGGGCTTTTAGAGTCATAGTATAATCAAAAAGCCAGGTGAAAGATCCATAATGAGACTTAATTAGCCTAATTACGCTAGCAAAATAGGTAAAAAAAAGTGTCAAGTAAAAAGAAAACTTACTTAAGCAATGACAGAGGATACTACTATACAGCTTCCGTATCAATAGCAATGACGTCACTCACAAAAAAATATTGTTTTCGTGACGTATCAATATCAATAACGTCACTCACAAAAAAAATATTGTTTACGTGACATGTGGGTAATTTTTTTTCTCAAAATGAGTACAGAATATTTACAATTTTAATTCAGAAACAGATCAATCTAATAATACCCTACCTAACATTGCAAGTTTGGAACCTTACAGATCGATATTTTAAGTTTTTAAGCAACTTAAAACTTTACCCATGTTTATGTGATTGTAGGAAAAAAAGTCACAGGAAAAAAAAACACAGGAAAAAAAAACACAGAAAAAAAGTCACAGGAAAAAAAGTCACAGGAAAAAAAGTCACAGGAAAAAAAGTCACAAATATATATTTGCATGATACTTGTTAATACTTGTATGTATTAAATATTTAGAGAGTGCAAATTAACTTAGGATTAATTAAATGTAATGTGTGTAGGCTGTATACGCATAGTAATTTTTATAATTCATCTAAAAATATTTAGTATGAAGTATGTAGATTGTAATTATGTTAAACCTAAGATTAGTAGCGTTTAATAGAATGCTCCAAAGTCCACGGTTTTAATCCTGTTTTTTTTTTAAATACCAACATTAAATTACCGTGAAATGGTAAGTTCGTCTGACTTGCTGCCCTCAACTCATGGCCACAATAGTTATGTTTAGATGTTTAGTTCAACCACCTTTACTGCCCACATTTATCATGCTCATTACATAACAACACTTAGGATCAAAACAGAAAGCCGACAAGGTTCAAAGGCTGTCATTGACGCATGACGTCAACAACACAAAATATGTTCGGACAATGCCTACTGAGGAGAGGCTGACCAAAGAATAGCCTACGGCAAAATTTGCCTAAATTTCCTTTATAATTAAATTTTCTACAGCGTTTTTAACTAAATACGTAACAAAAGTTGAGATTATTGTGTAAATTATATTAGAGTATTTTTACTTACAATTGTTATAAACCATAATGCTTTTAACGTCTATAAATAAATTATGCTATAAAAAAATACAACCCACAACAATAAACATACAAAATTTTACAATTCTAAACAAATTAAAAAAAATATTTCTAAAAATATTTTTGTGACTTTTTTTCTGTGACTTTATTTCTGTGACTTTTTTTCTAAATTTTTTTTTCCACTGTGACTTTTTTTCTGTGACTTTTTTTCCTAGCAAAAACTGTGACTTTTTTTCTGTGTTTTTTTCCTGTGACGTTTACCGTTTATGTTTGACCTTCATTGTTGGAAGCTAAACAAATTTTTTTTCTGGCAAAAATAGCTTTGTCATCTTCAAGTAGCATAAAATACGCTAAAAATCTGCCATTTTTCATGTGATAATCGTTTTTTTTAAAACCTAATTCCAAGAAAGTCACTTTACTGTTAAGCAAAATTTTCAGAAACATGTGTCTGGTTTTGGGTCTGCAAACAAAATATGTAGGCCTGCTATAATTTTTTTTTCACGATCTATCTGGGTCTATTTATATAGTTGTTTTTTAACTATTGTAAAAAGTCCTTGAAATTTTTAACCTTGAAATGCAGTGTTTGTGAAAATTGCTGCTGTCACTGCACTCATCCTATTTTCTCCTCCCACCGCTTGTAAAAAAAATCAGCTATTTGTATTGGAGGGAGGTGGGGCGCTAGATCTTTAACATTAGTATTAGCATAGTTACTTCTGAAATCTTCTTCATAATAAAATATATGTGTCACCTTGTTTTGTGCCATTGAAGCCATTGACTCTGATTTTTTCCTGCTTTTCTTTTTGGATTTGCTTCCATAGCTTTTGTCCACCCAAGAACAAACTACAAGGCAGTAGTTGTTTGATTTTGGAGTTGTCTCTCCTAGAAGAGTGGCTGTCCTCTGCTAACGAGCCTCATCTGCCTGAGGGTTCAAACTCGAGACATATCGGTTTAGCAACCATGAGCTTTACCAACTTGACCATACCAACCCCACTTCTGAAGTGATTTCTTAGTAAAAATAACGTTTATGTAATCCTGCGATGTGTACTTACGAATTTCCACAATATTTTTTTTTGCGTCATCGTACATATCAAGGTGGGGGACATTGGTGGTGAAATGGTGCAACATAAGGTTTTAGATTTTGATGTGGAAATTAGCCATATACCTGGGTATGTTGTAAAAGCAGGCATACCACAGTGTACATTTGTGTTGTAGGCCTATCACTTGTTATAGTTCAGGCCTACTAAAAAAAAATTCTTAGATATTTCTACACATTTCTATATTACCAACAGTAGAAAAAGTGACCACTGCCACTATAAACAGAGTTGTTTGTATTGTGGTTTACATGCATGGGGTAGGTCTAGAGATTGTACTAACATTTTAAACTAATTATGTTGTATTATATATTGGATATATATATATATATATATATATATATATATATATATATATATATATATATATATATATATATATATATATATATATATACATATATATATATATACATATATATATATATATATATATATATATATATATATATATATATATATATATATATATATATATATATATATATATATATATATATATATATATAGATCTATATAATTACCACTTTAACATTTAAATATCTAATCCTCAGTTCATTTATAAGAAGCAGCATGGGAGAGGCAACTGGTGATTTAGAATTACAGTCTGATGAGTTTAAAGAATTTTCAAATTCTGAAGATGTGAAGCCACTTCTATCTACAGTATTTTATCTTCTTCTGACATAAAAACAGAATTATCATTTTTATCTTTCCGTGATATCAAACCAAACATGACATTTATAAATTCACAGGATGATAAAACCGTTGTTACGCCAGATTTTTCATCTTCTACAGACACAAAGTCAGAATGTACAACATTTTCCTCTTTTGTTGATGTAAAACACCATATGACATTTCTAACTTCTCAAGATAAAACAACAGGATTTTTAATTTTTAAAGATATGGAACCTGCTGTATCAGCAGTATGTACAAGATCTGAAGATTTAAAACCAGAATTAGCAATTTTATCAACTAGTGAAGATATAAAACCAGAATTAGAAACTTTATCAACTGCTGAAGATACAAATCCAGAATTAGAAAATATATCAACTAGTGAAGATCTAAAACAAGAATTAGAAACTTTATCAACTAGCGAAGATATAATACCAGAATTAGAAACTTTATCAACCAACAAAGATATAAAACCAGATTTATGGACAAAATTTTTAGATTCTGAGGACAAACAACAAAATGGACTTGAAGAAAAGCTAAAACTCTCTGAAGATGAAACATATCTGTCTGTTGATCCTCATGATCATAATGAACAGTTTTTTCAAAGATCTAACTTGAATAAACAAGCTCAAGTAGGGGAGAGGCCACTTGAATGTGATGCTAGCCATAAAAGGTTTTCAGATAGTTCTAGGTTAAATGAACATAAAAAAGTTCATTCAGGAGATAGGCCATATGAATGTGATTATTGTCATAAAAAGTTTTCTAATAGTTCTGCTCTAAGCAGCCACGAAAAAATACATTTACTAGTTAGACAGTATGAATGTGATGTTTGTCACAAAAGGTTTTCATGGCATTCTGGTTTAGCGGAACATAAAAAAGTTCATTCAGGCGATAAGCCATATGAATGTGATGATTGTCATAAAAAGTTTTCTAATAGTTCTGCTCTAAGCAGCCACAAAAAAATTCATTTACTAGTTAGACATTATGAATGTGATGTTTGTCACAAAAGGTTTTCAAGGAATTCTGATTTAGCGAAACACAAAAAAGAAGTTCATTCAGGAGATAAGCCTCATGAATGTGATGTTTGTCATAAAAAGTTTTCTCAGAGTTCTAATTTATATACACACAAACAAGTTCATTCAGCAGGTAAACCATTTGAATGTGATGTTTGTCATAAAAAGTTTTCAAATAATTCTAGTTTATATACACACAAACAAGTTCATTCAGAAGATAAATCATTTGAATGTGATGTTTGTCATAAAAAGTTTTCATATAGTTCTAAATTATATACACACAAAACAGTTCATTCAGGAGATAAACCATTTGAATGTGATGTTTGTCAAAAAAAGTTTTCTCAGAGTTCTAGTTTAAATACACACAAAAAAGTTCATTCAGGAGATAAACCATTTGAATGTGATGTTTGTCAAAAAAAGTTTTCATATAGTTCTAGTTTATATACACACAAAAAAGTTCATTCAGAAGATAAACCATTTGAATGTGATGTTTGTCAAAAAAAGTTTTTATATAGTTCTAATTTATATACACACAAAAGAGTTCATTCAGGAGATAAACCATTTGAATGTGATGTTTGTTAAAAAAAGGTTTCTCAGAGTTCTCATTTATATACACACAAAAGAGTTCATTCAGAAGATAAACCATTTGAATCTGATGTTTATCAAAAAAAAGTTTTCTCAGAGTTCTAGTTTATATACACACAAAAAAGTTCATTCAGAAGGTAAACCATTTGAATGTGATGTTTGTCATAAAAAGTTTTCATCTAGTTCTTATTTATGGAAATATAGAAAAGTTCATACTGGAGATCAACCACATGAATGTGATGTTTGTCATAAAAAGCTTTCATCTAGTTCTTATTTAAGGAAACATAGAAAAGTTCATACTGGAGATAAACCATGTGAATGTGATGATTGCCCGAAATATTTTTCTGAAATAAAGACTCCCGACATATAGGCTCCCGATATAAGGGCTCAAGATAAGGGCTCCCGGCAATTGGGCTCCCAAAATATTGGCTTTTGATTAAATGACTCGACATATTGGCTCTAGACCAATGAATTGCATGACCACTATTGGCATAAAAGTAACAATTTTGTCTTACCTCTAATACCACTATAAACTCTTTTAAATGCCCGAATGAACCATCAAAGCGAGCCCTTAACAGCTAAATTTCACCAATTCTAAAGTTTTGATAATGTTTAATTTACAACAGAAAAGATCTGTTGCTTAAAAGCGAGCGAGCACAGAAGTGTAAATGTATGATATAAATGATGTTTACATGTTAACAGCATTTTGTTTTGATAACCTACAAGCATACTGGAGGTAGGAAGGTACAGCGTGGACCCTTCTCCCCACACACTGAGTTGGAACAGCCTATAACCGACTCAATTATGAGTAGTATATTAGGTCCCTTTTGGGTCGGTTTTTTGGCGGAGCAGGGGATGGTGAGGAGCAATGACATATAGTAAAATACTCGGGAGCAGGGAAGGGTGAAGGTACAATGACATATAGCAAAATACTCCCAGCCTGGCGCATCGGGATGGTGAGGGTGGGTGAGCAGGATGCGCTGCAGGTACAACGACATATAGTAAAATACTACGCCAACTGGGGTTGGCGGAGGTGGTGGGGAAGTAGGTCACCTTTTGGTGACCTTGTGACGTAATCATTGACCTTGTGACGTCATCATTGACCTAGTTACGTAATTTTAATGCGTTTTTAATGAGTTTTAATGAGTTTTAAAAATTTTAATTAGTTTATTATTATTAACGAGTTACGTAATTTGATTATTTGTTTACTTTTTAATTATTTTTATTTTGTTTATTTTTAATTTTATTTTATTTTATAATTAGTTAAATTATTATTAACTAGTTACGTAATGTGATTTTAATTACTTTGTTTATTTGTTTATTTAATATATTTCTTTTCTTTGTTGTTTAATTTGTGGGTTTGTTTGAATGTATGTATGTTTAAAATTCTCCCCTACAACGCGAACGTATACTTTGTATAGGGACCATTCTCCACCACAACGAACGGTTACCGAAAATAGAACAGCCATTAAAGATAACGATCAGCCACATCTGTTACTTATCGATCCGTGATCCTTTGTTGACACGCGCTGCGCTTTTAATGGGAATGTATTGATCGCACCCACGGAGCCATCGGGACAACGGGCGCGTTAATATTGATTCCACACACGGCCATCAAATGATGGTCCGCCTAATTAATTTGGTCATGCATCGTGGGTTTATGTCGACTACAAACATCCATTAGAGACACCTGTTACTCGCTAAGGGCACCCGACACGTATCGACCCACATGCGATCCTTTGTTCTTGTCAACCACCGTACAAGGGCCAAGTTAATATTGATCGAACCCACTGACCATCAGTATGATGGTCCACCTATGTGTAATTTTTATTAACGAGTTACGTAATTTGATTTTAATTTTTTAAATTTTTAAATTTTTAATTTAAATTTATAATTAGTTTAATTATTATTAACGAGTTACGTAATTTGATTTTAATTTTTTTTAAATTTTTAAAATTTTTTAAAATTATTATTTTTAAATTTTATTTTTAATTGTTGTTTACTTGTTGTTTAATTTAATTACTTTGTATAATTTATTTGTTTGAAATTCATTTTAATTAGTTTGCTTTTAATTTCTTTGTTGTACGCCGTTTGAAATAAAAGACTAACACTAGCGTGTACTAGAAAGTGTCATTGTGTATAACATCCATTTAACCACAGCTGTTACTTATTAGCGACAGCTTGTACTTATCGATCCGCCCGTGAGCCTCCCCGGCGCTCCCCGTGGTTGCTTAATAGCGGACTCACTGAAGCGATCACAACAGGTAATTAATCGAAACCATTAAGTCCCTCTCCGCGTTAAGTGTGGCGACAGCTGGTGCTGTAATTAGTCACGGCTCTCGGCTTTTTTTCATTAGACTTCAGCTGTACATGAACTATGTTCACATATCGTACGCCCGGTCATTCTTTGATCAAATTAAAAAATTTTGTTTCCACATGTCCTGCGAACCGTCCCTTGCTATGTATGAAAGATTAATGGTTGTAACTATTCGCTTATAGCGAGGGTCAGCGAAAACAAAAATATATTTAAGGGTCGGAATTTTCTTTCAACCACCGTTAAGTCAGGTTTTGAGACGAAACGAAGTCTCGGTAGGTTCGTGTTTTTTAATGGGCGACAGGGCGACTTGATGCGTTGGTACGTAGGTATGCGGGGTTAAGGTTCTATAACTCTATATATTTAAATACGTTTTTTTATTCAAATGAGTTTACTCCCCCTAACGTAAGTACATGTAAAGAGGGATTTCCTATAGATCTGTAATGAATTAGGCCTTTTTGACTATGACTTGTTGCCCAGGTGTTGACATGATACGCTTTTTTGAGATATACATACACACACACACACACACACAAACACACACACACACACACATGCGCGCGCGCGAAATTCATACTAGGTCGGTAATGGCGGAGAGAACTTATAGGTATACATTATCATGGCGACAACAAAAGCGACTCTTATTTTATTTACATGAAAGCGTGTTTTCCAAAAAGTGTCACCATGCCATTGTCATTTTCGCAGCGGGGTTTATTTTAAGTGTACCCCGTGCACGGTTGTTTACATTTTAAAAGACGTGTCGCGTGTCTTCCCCTTACGGCTTCCCTAATAGAGAAACGAGAGGAAAGACAACTGTTCTAAAATTAGAACAGACTTGTCTACACACACGAGTATCGTCCCTTGTGAAAAAAAAAAATTCGCGTCAGATTCCTTAACTAAACAGTCAATTTCTTTAACAAGTTAAAAAATAATTTAGGAAAACAAGGGTTAACAACATTAGACGCTACCGTTTTTGTTTCCTGTGACGACAAGGCACAATACACTTTTGTATTTTATGTCTTAAGTAGAGGGTGGGATATTTTTTCTTTGTAAGCGTGTTGTAAACAATGGGTAGAGGAAGCGATTACTAGGTAAGAGGGGAGAGAACGTGACGTACATCGCGATATTTGAAAACACGGCGATGTTTAACCTCAACCAAAAAAGGCAATGAACCTAGAAGGAAGACGAATATATATCTTAGTCTTGCAGCAGATTACCTCCCCATGTTCGCTTTAGTATTACAGTTTTCATCAAACTTCTTTTTGACTTGAACTTCGTTAATTTTTAAGAAAGTTTACTTATACATAATACACTACGTCTAATGACAAGTTTTTATTTTTACCACTCAATGTATTTTCTTTTTCTATACCTTACATTGTCATCTTAATTTTTGATCACCTTAGTAAAAATTTGCTTAAGATTATAAACTTCAAGTTTTAAAAAACAACAACGTCGTGTCAAATGACACACCGTTTAAAATGTCTACATTTAAAGTTCACCAAAATAATGACGTAAAAACTAAATATCATATGACATTAGCATACATATCATTCAATCTAATCACTCTAAAGTACAAATCAATAATTTTTATTGATTAAGGGGCTGGGTGAGTTATTTTTTATTCGGGTGCCCAGGGAAGGTTTGGAGTTGGCTAGGGACACCGTTCATACTAGAGTCGGTGACGTTTTCACCGAGGCAGGGTTCGAAGCTAGACCATACATGTTTTGGAATCGTTAGGGGTCGAGTCTATAGTAGGGTCGCGGGAGTTTTGTTAACACAGAGGGATGTTTCGAAGTTGATACATCCATGTTTTAGAATTGATAGGTAGAGAGTCCATACTAGGGTCGGTGAAGTTTTCACCGAGGCAGGTTACAAAGTTGGGACATGCATGTTTAGGAATTGTTGGCAGTCGCGTTCATACTAGGGTCGGGGAGTTTTGCTAACACTGAGGCAGGTTGTAAAGTTGGTACAGGCATCCTTGGAATTGTTAGGGGCCGTGTTCATACTAGGGTCGGTGAAGGTTGGTTTTGAACTCGGAACATGTATGTTTTGGAATCGGTAGGGCTAGAGTTCATACTAGTGTCGGTGAAGGTTGGTTTTGAACTCGGAACATGCATGTTTTGGAATCGGTAGGTGTAGAGTCCATACTAGGGTCAGGGGAGTTTTTGTTAACACCGAGGTAGGTTGCAAAGTTGGTACATGCATGTTTAGGAATTGTTGGTAGCCGAGTTCATTCTAGTGTCGGTGAAGGTTGGTTTTGAACTCGGAACATGCATGTTTTGAAATCGGTAGGTGTAGAGTCCATACTAGGGTCAGGGGAGTTTTTGTTAACACCGAGGTAGGTTGCAAAGTTGGTACATGCATGTTTAGGAATTGTTGGTAGCCGAGTTCATACTAGTGTCGGTGAAGGTTGGTTTTGAACTCGGAACATGCATGTTTAGAAATTGTTGGTAACCGAGTTCATACTAGGGACGGGGGGTGTTTTAACCGAGGCAGATTACAAAGTTCGTACATGCATCATTGGAATTGTTAGGGAGAGTTAAACTAAGGTCGGTGAAGTTTTCACCGAGGCAGGTTACAAAGTTGGTACATGGATGTTTAGGAATTGTTGGCAGTCGAGTTCATACTAGGGTCGGGGAATTTTGTTAGCACTGAGGCAGGTTGGAAAGTTGGTACATGCATGATTGGGAATCGTTGGTAGCCGAGTTCATACTAGTGTCGGTGAAGGTTGGTTTTGAACTCGGAACATGCATGTTTTGGAATTGTTGGTAGCCGAGTTCATACTAGTGTCGGTGAAGGTTGGTTTTGAACTCGGAACATGCATGTTTTGGACTCGGTAGGTATAGAGTCCATACTAGGGTCGGTGAAGTTTTCACCGAGGGTGATTTCAAAGTTAGTACATGCATGTTTTGGAAGTGTTAGGGGCCGAGTCTATACTACGGTGGGATGGTTTTTGTTTTCATCGAGGCCGGTTTCAAAGTTGTTACAGGCATGTTTTGGAATCGATTGGTGTAGAGTTTAAACTAGCGTCGGGGGGAGTATGGGTTTCACCGATG